TTGGGGGATCAGAAATTCTGAATCCTTTTAGAATCATAGATAGATGACCGTTTTATTCTGATAAGTTGTGGGCCGGGAGATCAGAAAATCTGAATCTCTAAAAAAGGAAAGCGCGATGGGTGCACGATCTTTTTTACATTAAATTGTACATTTTGGTGAAATTGGATGTATTGTCCCTGGCGGACTCAACTGAACACTTCTTTTTCTCCTTCCAATAAGCCAAAACCAATCGGAAACACAAACTTTTTCGGCATCAAATACCAGTACCCTTCAGAATTGTTCCAAATTGGAATGCCACATTTTAGTTTGGAAGGCGTTAATGACTGCCGAGGTATGAAAAAACAATAGTTAATCCTGCTTTCTACCATCTCTTCTCCTGGCCTCAGTTGTTCAAAAGATGGATAACACTATCCACAGATAACTTGCTACCCAGTGGATAATTGTTGACAAAACAAACCGCACTTTCCACTGGTTTGCAATTTATCCAGTGGATAGTGTTATCTACCTTTCGAGCAAACTGGGCCTGACAACCACCAAGAGATATCTATTTACCCATTCACTAATGCTTAATTAACTTTTCCCACCCGGCTGGTCTATCAAAATAAACCTCACTTTCAGTTTGTGACTTTTTGCTGTTGTCATGTTTGTGTTCAGTTTTCTGTCCTAGTTCTAAGACTGTAAAAAGACCAAAATGATCGCTGGCCAGAATACCAGACTTTGTCACCTTATCACCAACAATTCTCATCTCTTTAACTTCTAAGTCTGACAGTTTGCAAAGAACACGATCAAGCCGGGCTTGATAACTAGTTGCATTTACGGACTTTTTTAACACTGAGGTGAATGGTGTCTTACTTCGATCCCAAGTGTACCCATTATTATCAGTATTTCCAGGAATTGACAGCCAGGCATCAATCCATGGCGATGGCAAAATAATATCACCATCAACTTTATCTTCAATGTTCAAATCACCCATAACACAAATATTGTCATAGCCAGAAATAATCTTGATTGACTCTTAACTGTTCTTCGCGTAGTTTGGTGTTGAAACCAGAGTGCACTAAGTGCGTAGCTGCAATGACAAATTTAGCACTCCCCGATGCAGAAGAACTATGTGTTTCTGCTACAACAATTCTACGTTGACGCGGAAAATCAGAATACTTAAACGGGTAAACTTGCCACTTCTCAACAGGATATGAGCTCAAAATAGCAAGTTCCGGCCTCTCTTGTTTCGTGACGTTGGGTAAAATCAAATGATATCGCGAAAACCAGCGTTGGTCTTGTAAAATTGCCAGATTGCCTCGAGTGACTTCTTGAAAAGTCACAAGATCTGGCTCAAGATCTTCCACGATTTCGCCAAGGGCTTCCATTCTTTCGCGCATCTTTTCAGTAGATCTCCAAATGTTGAAGGTGAGAATGCTTATTTCCATTGGCCTTTTATTACCAAAGAATAAACTACCACCAAAACGGACATTTGTAAAAGAACGAAGAATGAACAGAACAATAAATATTATTGAAAGAGCCAGCATCCAACCTCGAACTCGAGGCGCCTTTAAAGAAGCCTTGGAAGCCATGTTCATGTTTTGCAACATCATTCTCATCCCCAGAGCCGCGCGTCCCTCTTAACCAGCGAGGCCATTGGCACTAGGAAAGGGTGGCACTGGTGGCGTCCCCTACCGCCCCCNAGAGGAGGAAAGTGACGACGAAGAAGGCAACGACAGCAAGAAAGGCGAAAAGGATAAAACGAATAGGAAACAGAAAACCAAGTTTGAAGGAATAGATATTGATGATGATATTCCTCTTTCGAAATGGAAGGATGCATTAGCAAGGTAAATAACTTGTTCATTCGGGAAACAAAAAGGGTGGGCCGCCCCCCCCCCCCCCCCCCCCCCCCGGTCCGGGCCTTGAGCCGCCTATCCCTGTAAGCTAGTGGGCCCTTGGCAAGGGGAAAGGGTGGCTCTAGACTAATTTCTCTCGTTTCTCTTGAAAAGTTTTGCTTTTTTGTTTTGATTTCTGTATAAAAATGTTAGTTCTAATTGTCTGATGGAAGTTGAAAAAAACTGGCTCAAGTTAACGGGAGAATTTTTGGTA